TGGGGAGGGGAAGGCCTGCGGAGGCAGGGCTGAGCGCCTCCCCTCCCCTGGCTCCAAGCCTCCGTGGGCCGCCTCTTGCTGGGGTCCAGGCAGGCTCGGGCTGGGGGAGCCCTGTGTTTAGCTGTGTGTGGGGCCCTGTATTTGCCTCAGGGATGGGGTTGTGTTTACCTGTGGAGAGGGGGCCCCTGTGTTTACCCCGGGGGTGGTGGGGGGGCTGTGTTTACCTCTGGGGATCAGGCCTGAGGCAGCCCACCCTGATCCAGCCCGACGAGACGAGCCCTGCGGGGAGCATATATCCTCTGCCAGCTTGTCTCTCTGGTACAGAGTGGGTAGGCTCGGTGGCTGCTTCCCTCCTAAACGAGTGAAGCCAACTCCCTGCTAACTCATCTTCCAGATAGGGTGAGCGTGCACAGTGGCATCTTCTCAAGCAGTGGTGCCTGGTGTGCAAAGCTATTGACCCATCACATGCTGAGTTATCACTGTCAAACTCGGTTTATTAAGTGCTGCATGCGTGTTTGAGTAAGCTCTGTGATTTGGGTTTCTTTTAAAACTTGCAGGAATACCAGTAATATACACTTGAAATAAGAGCTGTGGGGGAAGTGAAGATAGCTGCAAGTTGTATGACAAAACCTTGGAATATAAGACAGAATATTGGACAGGAGGTTTGCCTTTCCAGGTGTATGTAAACAAACAAATGTGCTCATGTTTGTCACGTGTGTTGTAGTAAACCATTCACTGCATGTGTAGTTCACTCCCCCTTATGAAGGGTTTGCACATAAAGTAGTAGGATGAGATCCTTTGAGATGAGTTTCCCTTGTTTTGGTTTATATTTGCACACAAACAGATTTTATGTTTTTTTTTTTTCCCGTGGTTAAAGGAGGCTCTTATTTTTTAAAAGGATCCTTGTAAGATGGTGATGTGTACTGAACTCTTTTCCTTGTTTTCAAAAAGAGATACAAAAAGCAGGAAGGCAACTAAATTTTAGATTTACTGGAGATCCTTTGGCATGTGTTATCTGTTTTGAAAGTGCTTTTTATCAGCTGTCATCTTGGAATCCAGACATTGTTATAATGGGTTAATATAAATACACAGAAACAGGAAAGAGAGGAGGCTCTTTCTGAAGAATTTATGGCTTAGTGACCAAATTTAGTGTTTGCTTCCCTT